AGCGTGGATTGGGGCTATACTAGATGACTAAGACTCATGAGCAAAGCTGCAGGAGATGCGGAAGCTGCTGCTCGTGGATCCCAGCCATCTAGTTTAGCCCCAAACCGCGCAGCGTCGAGGGGGAGACTGCGGTTTGTTCCGTTTCTTTAAATTGTCAACAGACACTAATCCTAGTTTTCCCGCGATGTGCCTGTGACTGCTAGAGCGCAATTGACACGTGACTGGCTCGTCAGGATATTTTGCGGACGCCATCTTTACCGCCCGTTATTCGGAGGATAGCCCTTTCCCGAAAGCTGAAATATTTTGGTCATATCAAGCGCCACGATGGATTGGAAAAAATTATAGCAGAAGGCATGGTACCAGGAAGAAGGGGCAGAGGCTGACCGACATGAAGATGGGCACAGGATATAAGTGACTCTTTGAGTGTGAAAATTCATGAGGTGGGAGAACTGGCGAGAGACCGAGTTTTTTTCAGGCAGACTGTGATGAGAGCGACGTTCTGCAAAGGACCTGCTACATGATGATATTACAGTGGAATAAGTACATTGTTTCTAGGAATGCAAAACCTCAGAATAATTACTTTTATTATAGTTAGTTCAGAATTTTCAAGACTACCTGGTTTAAGTCTTATCTAAAGGATTTGCTTGATGTGTCTGGATCCTGCATAGTGAGAGTAGTGAAGTGAAACTTGAATCAGGCAATCGGCCTACTCTGCCTACCCTGCTTCCTACTGCTTGAGATTTGGACTACACAGTCCTTTGTTTTTATTAAGGCGGCTGCTGAGCTACTGGCCTCCTGACATTCAGCAGAAAGTTTTATTTATAATGAATGTTCATCAACGGACAACAGTTCTTGAATTTGAGTTTTGTGTGCACATTTGACATTTGTTTTACAGGACTGGCTTATTCTTATTTGTATGCAGACTCTTGGATATTTGCCTCTGAGGCAGATGAATGCACTCTGACTTCAGATGCAGCAACCCTTTTTTGACGTGCTTAATAACTCTATGGGTCCCAAGGAACGCATCATACGTTCAAAAGTTACTGCCTAGAAGTCCAATGAATGCATGATGTGCTGATTTTAGGACTTTCTTGATTACCTCTTGGGCCTGTGAGGCTAAACCCTCTGGGACTCAATGCGTTAAAGGGGCAGTATGTCTCTCTCTCTCCCCCCCCCCCTCCCCCAAAGGGCATTGAGAATACACTGAGGACGATGGATCAAAATAGAGAACAAATATTAGTTTTTTGTGTGCAAAATATATGTTTACTTGATTGGTGAGGAAAATGACAAATAAAATATTCTTCTTTCTGTGTCGGCTCTGTGGCTAAGTCGTTGCGAATGCTTCAGGATGCCGGGTTCGATCTCAGCTGCGGGCCATGCGCCTTGCGTTGGTTTAGACAATGGTATCAAGAAAGCTGACCGTCCAGAAATCAATGGCAAACTACTGGACGTAAATTTGCCTAGAAAAACCACACAACTGCCAGGAGCTGTTGGGGTTGGTTCTGCAACCTCCTGTAAAGGATACGCCTCTAATCACTTTCTTTCTGTCTAAGGGAGTTAGTAAACCCTATGGAGACAATGCGGCTGAAATGTCAGCCCGGCACAAAGTAGCCAAAAAGACATCTGGGCTGATAGGTCGTCCTTATATAATACAAGCCTTGAAATTGGCTGGCAGGTTTTCATACCAGCCAGTCAGATTGCTTCTCGCATTTCCTGTACATGTGGGCTGTTCATTAACGGCTTTCGAAAAACTTTGATGTGTTCTGTAATTTTACATCAATTTTTATCTGGGGTTACCTGTGCCCAACAGTGGGGAAAAGGACTGTTGCGTCATAGCAACCGAAACATAATTAGAGGCAGAAAAATTAGTAGAACCATGTGCCAAAGTGTCTGAAGGACATCCAAGGGCCTTACTTCCCAAAGCACAAGTGCCTGGACTTATTAAAGCTTCATCCCTAAATAAAATTCACATAAAATTGTTAGGTTAGTCATGTTTATTCCCAAGTTATAAAAAGAAATGCTTGCATAAATTATGCCGATCAGAATACTTAATTTAAATAAATGTTGAGATTTCGGTTTGATTCACAAATATTCTCTTAGCTCATTCAATTTCCTACACGAATGTAAATAGTTTTGTATATATTAATTAAATGCTTAATTTTTAATAATTTTTTGTGTGAATAAACTATGAGAATCCCCTCTTGGAGGCTTCATATTTTTGACACTCAAACTCCAAAAAGGCTCCGTCTCCAGAGGGTTAGAGTTTCTGCTTACAGCTGAATCACCTTACAGTTTATGTTTTAATTAATACCTAGATTCATGTGATTAATTGATTTTAACATTGTAATTTGATATTGACATATTAAATCTTTGTACAGATGCCGAGGGTAACCAGGAAAAGTGTTGCTTCAAAGGATGAATCATCTTCAGAAAATCAGGGATCTACAGGCTCAAGAAAAAGGTGAGCTGTTCATGATGTATGACAGAGGTGCTGTTTTCATTGGTCAAAAGCTTATGGGAAAGTCAAGGCCATGCTGCATAAACAGGGAGATCACCTCACCTCAGGCTAGCTGTCTTGGCTGCACACACGTTATAGCTCTTATCAAATACTATGGATAAATAGTTGTCACAAGCCTGAATATAACTGAAAGTGGATCTTGGTTAATAAACTTAGTTCTCGGTGTGGGTTCTGAAGTCTCATTTGTGGGGGTTTGGGGGAGGGATAGACTCACTGTCCTTGAAAAAGCATTTTCAAAAATGCGTGTGGTTAAAGATTTGCTAAACTTTTATGTTTTTGGTCCAAAGGTGCTAGCAATGTATTTAAGGACAAATGCGTCAGAAGGAGAAAAAAGATAACCTCTATGACTGCAGTGACTAGACACCATGACATTAAAAAAACATCTTCCCTTGTGGGTTCCGGGGCTCTATTGTGGGGAAAACAAGAATAGACTCACTGCCTACCCAAAAGCATGTCATAAGAGTTGACTAATTAGGAGCTTCCTTTGAAGCCTGATTGCATCTGCCTGAGAGGAGAGGAGCAAGTAGTCTGCATACAAATGAGTCAGATCTGTCAAACGGATGCAGAGGCAACACTCAGGTTCTGGAACACGACTGCAGTCCATAAGTGGATGACCCACCAGAACTTTCTGCCAGAGTTTACAGCTGGTGAACGTAAAGAAGAAGAAGATTAAAAAAAAACACACCCAATGGCACTCACCATTACACCCAAATATCATTGATGGTGGCTAATACCTATGTTCTGATCCTGCCTTTCCTTGAGGGCTGACCAGTATAAATGCAGCTGTTCTCAGTGGGACAGAAGGGCAATGATAATCTATACAAACTACATAGAAGGCTAAGCTGATAGACTGATGCTAGGAAGAAGTCAAATATAAGGAGCACATATAGCTTTGCTGTGATCAGACACAATGCAGATACATCCAAAACAGCAAATATTGGACAAAGAAAGAAAAAGTTACATCAAAGTAAACAGGTAACAGATGCAAAAAAAGAAAGAGCATAAAAAAGAAAACAGTATAACATTAAAATAAATAAATTAAATGTGCAAGTAAAACTAAATTTTTTGTTATATAATGAAGAATATGTCTTACTGTCAGTCTTGGCTTAAAGGTTAGTTTTGAATTAATGCATATTACATAGAATCGGATTCAACAGACTGCTGTAAATTTTTTCAGTAAAAAATATGTTATAGTCGCAGATTGTTCAAAATATAATTTACAGTTGTAATAGGTAATTTGATTGTTGTAAAAGTATCCTTTCCAGTATGTTGCAGGACCAAATCCAGCAATTTTTGCCTGGTATGGTTTTTCTTAGCAAATGTTACGTTCAGTAATTTGTCATTGCTTTCTGAATGGTCAACTATCGGTACCACAAAACCAATGCAAGACAAATCGTCTGCAGCTGGGATCGAACCTGGCATTGCGAAATATGTTCACAGTGTCCAAGCTGCAGACGCCGACATGTAAAAGAAGCCAAGACATAATCTTAACACAGACCATAGTAGTAGTTAGTCACCAGTTATACAGCAGTCTATAGCAACTAATGTTGCAAATTTAAACAAGTTATGGGGGAAATGATGTGAGGCATATTAAAAACTGCTTTTAATAAAACTATCTTTTCTTAGTTAGCTGCAGTCCCCACCTTCATGACAGACAGGCACACTGTAATTGCTCCATTCCTATGCCAACGCAGAATGATTGCTGTCCTTTTTTAAAAGAATGAAACAGGCTGCAGTCTTGACTGATCCTGCAGCATTCACATATATTAAACGCATAAGGCAGCCATCATAAATGTCAGCACAAAAAGTCCACCACAAGTTCATCATAGATGGGAGCAACAGTTAACAACAAATCATTAGTTACACATGGAATATTGCATAAGGCACCTTCCGTTCTGTGGATACAAGCCACCCGCCGTTTTGTGAATCATCATTTCACAATACAACATCTTGAGCACAGCTGGAAAAATTCCACATGAAGTTTGCAGTGTCACGCCTTGCACTCAGCTGTAACTGGGCGACAGAACTATATCATTTCAATTCACATATGGGGGAAAATACAACTCTTCTGTTTACCCCATTCAATAGCATATTTAACTTTGTGACATTTTTAATAATCTTAGTCATCAAGAGAGTTCCCAGCTTACTTACAGTTGATTCATTTCTAGAATTTATAAAACCATAAAAGAAAGGATTTAGTCGCCTGAGTTCATCATGCCATAGCTTAAATCATAAAGCATATGTTAATATATTTTCTGATCCTTGAATGACCATAGTTGTAATCGCCTGTGCATGACATAAGTGGCAGCTAAGGAGGGTTTACATTTTAGACTAGCTATCTTCTCCTGTCAGTGCACAATTGGACCAGTAATGAACTACGAAGGGATTGACTGGAGTTGGTGGGAGGTTGTGCTCCATTGGGAAAAATTGAAAGAGAAGTTTCAGCACATTTCTTAATCTTTGTCTTCACACTTTTGTGCAGGGGAGCAAAGAAGGAGGAACTGGCGTCAGGGGATGTTACTGTAGAAAAACGACAGGCAGCGTCATCTAAAAGAGGCGGCAGGCAGGCAGCTAAAGGTTAGTAAATGGGTTTTGTGATTAGCTGTTTATTCATTGGTCCTGTTGTTTAGGTGTCAGTAAATGCTTTTACTGTTTCATGATCTGTGTATACCAAGGTTCATTTGGAGGGGGGGGGAGATGCTCTTCTGATTTTCAGACAGTAGTATCAAACTGGAATGTTGAATTGAGAATCAACATCACAGCATTTGGGACACTCCCATAAGTGCTCTTCAGCAACAAGCAGCGAGTTCCGATGTTACCAGTAACTGTCTGAACCGTGATTGTTGAGCGTCTGCCAGATCCCCTGGTAACTCCTCGCAGCGCCATTCTCTTCAGACAGTAATGATCTATCTATGTCTCCAAACTGTTCACTGGCTCCCAAAGGGAACTCACAATATCTAACTTGTCATACATCAGTTCACCACTAAGTGGTGCAGACCCAACCAGTCTATCTGCCTGCTCATTTCCCAACACACCATTAACACCTGGAGAAAATATCCAAAGGATGCTAACTATGAGGGACCTCTGAAGTGATGCTTGCCACTCTGCACGCAGCATGCCTGTTTTCACCTTTCTCAACATGCTTGGTGAGTCAGTTACAATCATGGCATGTCAGTACAGCTGATTCTCAAGCCAGCGGAAGGCAGCAGAGACTGCCTCCACCTTTATTCTCAAACTAGGTTTTGCTGCACTAGGCGACCTCAATTCGCCTTTGCTATGAAACCCCATGCACTTGGTCTGCCCCTCAACATAAAGCTATCTGTATAGATAATTACATCACTTGGTCAGGAATTGTCATGAATCATTTGTTGAACTTCTGATTCTGCAGCACTAGCTGGCCAGTCTCTGCACTCACTACCTAATGTGTTTAGAACTGCATACAAGTCTTAAACTTGTTCTGACACCTTGACCCACTCCTTCTCGCTCAAAATTATCGAGCCTGCACATTTGTCTGATTGTGTCTTCAGCTTGCGCCATCCAAGACCTTCCTCTTTTCAGTCTGTGACCCTTATCTCTACCCAGGGCTTCATGCGGGAGGTGCTTCTTGTCTGCAGCTACTCTGAGATGTGACTTCGAGCCTATCTGCAATAGTAGGCAGTGCAAGTATGTATCGCATACATAGTTCTAGGATATCTCTTGTGCGTCCCAGAATTACCAGCATGGCTTCATTCTGTATGGGTTCGAGTTTAATCAGCTGACTTTTGATATAGTAAGCATTCCAAGTCCACAATTCTATCACTGACAAGATCACATGCTGGAACATTGTGACCAGCATTCTTTGTTTCATGTTCGTTGCTGCCATAATCTTGAGAGCATCTTTTGGCATTTTACTACAACCGCCTCCATATGATGCCTATAGAACAGGCTTCTATCGAAAAACACCAGGTCACTTTGTCTACAGTTGCTGTAGCTCATGAGCTATAAGTTGTCTATCTCTTCCTTGACGATATGCAAAAACATCATCAGCAAATGTCAGTATCCTTCCAACACCTGGTGCTTCAAATTTTGGAGTCTTGCTTATATACACATTAAAGAGCACTTGGGAAATTGCAGAACCCTGGGGTAGTCCCGAGGTTATATTAAATGATTCTGAGATCCATGTACCCAGGCGAAACTGGCACAGTGGCAGAGGTTGAATTCTCACTGCTTAATATTGCTGGGGTGGGTTTCGGGCCTATATTGTTTGGGGTGGGGGGGGGGGGGGTAAGAACAGACCCACTGCCTCCATAACAGTATTGAAGTCCAGAAGTGAACGATCAACCAGAACTTTCTGCTGGTGTTTACAGCCAGCAGACGCGAAGAAGGAAAGGGAGAAATAGCTAATTGTGTTTTTTTTTCAAATTTTCTTTTCAGAAGCGCAGAAGTCAGATGTATCTGATAAAAAGACGGCAGCATCAAGAGGGAGATCACGAGGAGGAAAAGAAAAAAAGAAAGAGTCCGAAAGTGAAGACAGTGAAGAAGATGATAAAAGTGAACAAGAGGAAGAAAGTGTGCCGAAACGAGGAAGAGGGAAGTCTTTGTCAGCAGCCCGGAAAACAAAGGTTGAACAAGATAGTAAGGCAGCTGTGACAGGTAGCGCTAGAGCCAGAGGCAAAACCGGGCGGGGTAGTCGGGACACAAGGAAAGAGAAAGGTAATGTTGAAGAAGATGAAGAAGAGCAGGATGAAGAGACAGATGATAGTACAGCTGTAAGAGGTAAAAGTGTTGGGAAAAGAGGTGGTGCTAGGCAGACCAGTAAAGCAAGTAAGAAGGAAGAGAATCAGGATCAGACAGAAGAGGGTAGACCACAAGGAAGGGCAGGGAGGAACAGGAAAGGAGCAAAGAATACTGACAAAAGTGTGGATGCAGAAAATAATGAAGAGCAAGAATCGGAAGAGGAAAATCAAGTTGCGGTGAAAGGTCAAAGAGGAGCCAAGGCTGCAAAGTTGATTGAAAAGGATGCAGTTGACAATAACACTGTTAAAAGTAAAAATAGTAAAGCAAGGGGCAGAGCTGCTGTTTCATCTTCTAGAGGTGGAAGACAGACCACAGCAAATGCAGCGAGCACAGAGGAAAGTGAAGAAATGGAAACAGTGGAAGAGACTGAGGCAGCTGAACTGAAAGGAGAAAATGGGAAAGAGAAAGAGGCTGAAAGTGCATCATCGTCGACAGTGAAAAGTTCAAGGGGTAGAAAGGGCGAATCAGCTGAAAAATCATCTTCAAGTAAAGCCTCCACGAAAGTGGGTGTGGCCTCCACCTCCACTGCATCTGGCAAGCAAGCTAAGAAGTTAGAGGCTGAGCCCATGGAAACTGAGGATCAGGACACATCAGCAACGACAGAGACTTTCCGGGAGAAGTCACATGATAGTGAAGTATGCCTTCCTTCATTCATTCATTCATTTATTGTTGTACATTGTTGCCCGGCTTTTGACTGTTTTGAGCTAAGAACTGACATCTGAACACCCTGTCCTCATTTTCAGCAGCTGTTGAAGAGTTCCAGTTAATACTGCTACTGTTTTTGACTTCCAGTGCAGTATGGATAAGAAAGCAGACTGTTTTTAGTCTTTGCAAGTTATTTGCTTCTAGCCATAGCTTGAATGAATCAGGAATTGACATCACTGCACTCAGGACATTCCCACACAGTGCTCTGTCTCCTTCTTCAGTAACCAACAAAGAGCTGACATGCTAATACTAATGGTTGCAACCTGATTAAAAGTCCGCCTTTGTTTCCCCTTCGATGTTGATTATCTTCCAAAACCTCTACTCACCCCCGGTTCAGTTAGTCTATCAGTGTATTAGCCGTATATATAACATGTTCTGTTTCAATGGTTCGCTATGAATTCTGTCCGTTTTCCATAATTCTGGGTTCAAGTTGTATGATAGACACGGCCAATCACAATTTTTTTTAAGGGGTGTCTCATCAGTCATGTCTTGGCACATTTGTCCTGCAGTGAGGCACTGTTATAATTTGGAGGTGATAGGTTTAATTCCTGGTCTGGTAACTATGGCTTGAGATTTATCTAATGTGTCCTTCTGCTTCTTTCTGTGAGTGCTGATCAGTACATATCTTTTTGGTGTTATATACACTTTCTATGGCCTCAGGATTCTTCATCTGTTTATCTCTTTTTATTACACAAATTGCAGTATAACCTACCAGTGAAATCTTTTCTTGAAATGTTCATTATAGACTAGACACTACATTATGGTCCGTTGTGTTTGAAATTGACTTTTTTTCTTCTTTTTGACCTTTAGTACATGGCATGACATTGTGAATTGCAGATTCAGAAAATGTCAGGTGGCCTCTTGCCACAGAACTGGTGGGTGAAGCCTTATGCGATATAGCATGTACAACTGCTGATTTCTTGTAACTGCTGCTTACATCAACAGTGCTAACAGCAGTTCTGTTTGCAGACTGTTGGTACATCTGATGGCTGCCTTATGCATTCATTTGTTGGAATGCTATGAAATTGGCTTTGCAGAGACTGCAGTCTGTTTCAGATATTTTTTCACAGGATGGGCATTTAGTGCTGGCGCTAGGAATAAAGCAATTATGGGATAAGCAGCTTGCTGTGAAGTCAGAACTGTGATGAAATGATGACCTTACTTTACTGTTTTCATTTAGAAAGCATCATCAGAAGCTAGTTCTGCAAGCAAGCACAAGCTGGGAGATGATCAAGAGCATACCTTAAAGCGAGCGAGGTTGAACGAAGAGTCAGAGTCCGTTGGCAAGGCTGGGAACTGTAATATGAGCAGCAATGCTGATGCTGCTGGATCTAACAGTCAAGAAGTAAGTACCTGAGCATGGATCTTTCTTGGAGTTCATTTACTCAATTGTTTTTTTTTTGTTGATTTCAATAGTTTTGATTAGATTTAAGGTATTAGTTTGTTGTCTTGGTTATCTTCTTTACTGGCATAATACTTTCCACATCACCCATCGAGTGCTAGCTGATATTTGTAGATATTAGTTAAGCACCATGTGCCAAGTGCATCGGTAGCTTGAAAAGGATCCTTCACTTTTCTGTCCTTTTGGGGTTGGACAATTTTAAAGCTTGCTTAAAGAGTTTAAGATGTGGCTCTCCGGTGTAAAGCAGGGCTATTCAACTAAGTTTACTCAGGGGCAAACATTTTGAAAATGGGGATCGCCGCTGCGTAGAAAGATTATTAATAGAGTACAGTTGGCAATGGTTTGCAGGCTCCTTGCTAGGCCTCTGCCTGGTGTTGAGACTAATGGATGCGGGTCACAGTGAGCAGCTTAGAAAAAGTGAGGTTCGTACTAGAGACAACATTGTAGATATAGGTAATCTGTTTCAAGCAAACAAAAGAAGCAGCTTAGAAAAAGTGAGGTTCGTACTAGAGACAACATTGTAGATATAGGTAATCTGTTTCAAGCAAACAAAAGAAGCAGCTTAGAAAAAGTGAGGTTCGTACTAGAGACAACATTGTAGATATAGGTAATCTGTTTCAAGCAAACAAAAGAAGCAGCTTAGAAAAAGTGAGGTTCGTACTAGAGACAACATTGTCCATATAGGTAATCTGTTTCAAGCAAACAAAAGAAGCAGCTTAGAAAAAGTGAGGTTCGTACTAGAGACAACATTGTAGATATAGGTAATCTGTTTCAAGCAAACAAAAGAAGCAGCTTAGAAAAAGTGAGGTTCGTACTAGAGACAACATTGTAGATATAGGTAATCTGTTTCAAGCAAACAAAAGAAGCAGCTTAGAAAAAGTGAGGTTCGTACTAGAGACAACATTGAAGATATAGGTAATCTGTTTTCAAGCAAACAAAAGAAGCAGCTTAGAAAAAGTGAGGTTCGTACTAGAGACAACATTGTAGATATAGGTAATCTGTTTCAAGCAAACAAAAGAAGCAGCTTAGAAAAAGTGAGGTTCGTACTAGAGACAACATTGTAGATATAGGTAATCTGTTTCAAGCAAACAAAAGAAGCAGCTTAGAAAAAGTGAGGTTCGTACTAGAGACAACATTGTAGATATAGGTAATCTGTTTCAAGCAAACAAAAGAAGCAGCTTAGAAAAAGTGAGGTTCGTACTAGAGACAACATTGTAGATATAGGTAATCTGTTTCAAGCAAACAAAAGAAGCAGCTTAGAAAAAGTGAGGTTCGTACTAGAGACAACATTGTAGATATAGGTAATCTGTTTCAAGCAAACAAAAGAAGCAGCTTAGAAAAAGTGAGGTTCGTACTAGAGACAACATTGTAGATATAGGTAATCTGTTTCAAGCAAACAAAAGAAGCAGCTTAGAAAAAGTGAGGTTCGTACTAGAGACAACATTGTAGATATAGGTAATCTGTTTCAAGCAAACAAAAGAAGCAGCTTGGAAAAAGTGAGGTTCGTACTAAGAGACAACATTGTAGATATAGGTAATCTGTTTCAAGCAAACAAAAGAAGCAGCTTAGAAAAAGTGAGGTTCGTACTAGAGACAACATTGTAGATATAGGTAATCTGTTTCAAGCAAACAAAAGAAGCAGCTTAGAAAAAGTGAGGTTCGTACTAGAGACAACATTGTAGATATAGGTAATCTGTTTCAAGCAAACAAAAGAAGCAGCTTAGAAAAAGTGAGGTTCGTACTAGAGACAACATTGTAGATATAGGTAATCTGTTTCAAGCAAACAAAAGAAGCAGCTTAGAAAAAGTGAGGTTCGTACTAGAGACAACATTGTAGATATAGGTAATCTGTTTCAAGCAAACAAAAGAAGCAGCTTGAAAAAGTGAGGTTCGTACTAGAGACAACATTGTAGATATAGGTAATCTGTTTCAAGCAAACAAAAGAAGCAGCTTAGAAAAAGTGAGGTTCGTACTAGAGACAACATTGTAGATATAGGTAATCTGTTTCAAGCAAACAAAAGAAGCAGCTTAGAAAAAGTGAGGTTCGTACTAGAGACAACATTGTAGATATAGGTAATCTGTTTCAAGCAAACAAAAGAAGCAGCTTGGAAAAAGTGAGGTTCGTACTAGAGACAACATTGTAGATATAGGTAATCTGTTTCAAGCAAACAAAAGAAGCAGCTTAGAAAAAGGGAGGTTCGTACTAGAGACAACATTGTAGATATAGGTAATCTGTTTCAAGCAAACAAAAGAAGCAGCTTAGAAAAAGTGAGGTTCGTACTAGAGACAACATTGTAGATATAGGTAATCTGTTTCAAGCAAACAAAAGAAGAAGCAGCTTAGAAAAAGACCATTCTCGTGATTTAAGACAGTGACAAGACAATCAGATTTATTGTTATATAAAAATTCAAGATAAACAACCAGCAGGGTATTGGGTATATAATGTCAGGCTCATAGTTCTATAGACCAGTCGGCTTTTGATGGATGATGTCATCTACATTATGTTACCTGCCTTACTTTACCTAATACTCATTCAAGGATGGGTCGACCTAAAGAACCATTATTGTGTATTATCATATTATTAATCATTTAAATGTAATATTTTATTAGAGTATGATATTCCGAGAAATATTACATATTAGTAATGTGTAAGAAAATAGCTTATTGTTATTTAATATTCATATTACACCATATTAATAATTTAAATTTACTACTGTTTTCAGAATATACTGTTAGAAATATTTTACATTATTAAGATTAGAAAGAAGCTAGTTTTGCATCAAGGGCATGCGTTAAAACCCGAAAATAATATTAAAATATTATTACTGGTTTAAATTTAATATTATATTGACATATTGTGTTCTGAGAAATGTTATACCTTTACATAGGTAACATGTAAGAAAAAGAGTATTATTATTATGTGTTATTATTATGTCACAGTATTATTTATTTTAATTTAACAGTGTAGCATAATATGCTGTGCTAAGATACTGTAAATTGTTAGTAACAAGTAAGAACACAATTTATTATTCAAAATATTATTATTACACATTAATAAAAACTTTAATGCTTTTAAAAGTTTGCACTAACATTTTGTGCTTAACAGTTTGGTTCATCTTTTAACAAGCTGCTTTGAAGTTTTCTTGAGTTCTGTGGCTTTAAAAGTTTTAAAAAATAACATGCAGGAAGAACCTATCAACCAGCTTACTCTCATGTTTAGGAGTCAAACATCCTGTACATATATTGCCCAGCTGACTGAACTTGCAGGTTAAGGTCATGGGTTTGTCCTTGTGACTGTTTTTTTTTTTTTTTTTTTCTCAGTGCAACCTTTAAAAGATTATTAGCACAGTGTCTTTCAGCTGCGATATATGTGCCTTATGATCCAACTCTGGTTTGAGCAAAATTCTATCTGTGCCTTATGATCCAACTCTGCTTTCGGCAAAATTCTAATTAGTCACCTTTTACCTTATGTTTGTAAGGCTTCATTGGGTCTTTTCTTCCTTCTTTCTTTCCTTTCCTTCTTGTCCCCCATGGATACAGATTGGGTCCTGACAGTGAACAAGATAAAGATAGTTCTTTGGTTTACGTCTTGAATTCATGACCAAGTCGTTCTAAGCTTGGTACCGTTAGATAATAATGTTCATAAGGCAGTGAACAAGACCACACATGATCGCACCTTGAGTACATTCAGGCTGATGCCAGGATGGTTCCTAATTCTCTAGCTTACAAGTCCTGTGTTCACATCCAAGTCATTCGAAGAGTGGTGTCAATAAGGTAATAGATGTGTTCATAATTGCAGTGAAGAGGATCACCAGATCCTACTATGGAAAACATGAGAATATTCAGGCTGATGCCAGGATGGTTCCTGATTCTTTGGTTAACATATCTTGGTTTACACATCTAAGTCATTCTAAGGGTGGTGACATCTTTAAGATTGCAGATTTACAGCAGCCAGCAGAAACAGATACTTTGTCACAGCCCACGACTCCTGAAGACACATCATATGAAGGCCCTAGGATTAATCCCTTTGTGGCAACTCCAGGCGTCCCTTTTATTGTCCCTCTCACAGAAGCAGAGTTGGCAAAGCAGTATACAGTGCAACAGAGGGTGAGTTTATTTCTCATGGCATTAAATTGTATGTACACTTTGTAGTAAGTGAATCACAACAGTCAGCCAGCCTGAAGATCTTAGATTTCTTCTTCTTTGTGCTCACAGGCTCTAAACTCCGGCGGAAAGTTCTGGTTGTTTGTCTGCATCTTGACTGAATGTTGCGTGCACACCCGTTTTATAGCGTTATGACATTTGTATGCAGATTGTTGGTTCCTTGCCTCTGAGGCAGATGCTCTCTGACTTGAAAAGAAACTCCCAATTAGTCGACTTTTATGTCATGCTGATTGGGCAGTCAGTGGGTCTGTTCCTGTTTCTGCCACTGTGGGGCCTCGGAACCCACATGGAGAGATCTTAGGTTTGAAGCTGAACATCATCCTGTTGTGCTGTTGTGCATCACATAGGGCTGGCAGTCTAGCCCTTCTTTCCATTCTATTCTTTTGGATGTCCTTGTTTCCTCTATCCATTTGTTTTTCCACTTCAGTGCCAGTTTGGGGTTTCTGTGTCCTTTTCTCTTCCTGATGTGCCCAGTATATTATTGTCTTATTCTTTGTCTTGTCTTTTTATTGATGATACGAGCATTTGCTCATACTTTTCGCCTCCAAGGTCCGACGATTAAGTAATGAGACTGATTTTATTATAGCTAAGACAGAAATGCCTTCTATGAATCACAGCATGAAATCCAAATAGGCAACCTTGGTCTATGATCTGGCAAAATGTCATCACCCCCTGATAAGCAGACAGCAAACAAGCTGCCATTTTTGTAACCTAGTCAGTGGTGCATTGTTACATAATCAGCATGGGACAAAAAAGCTAACATTAAATTCTGTTTAAAACTCAGAAAAAGTGCCATTGCAACAGTTGAATTGATGCATCAAGTTTATGGGGATCATTGTTTATCTCATGCACAGATTTTTAGCTGGTATTCACGATTCAAAAGTGGTGTGGAAATGCAAAGCTAATGCAACTAGACCTGGACGCCCAAGTTGTGTTCATAATGAAGAACTCATTGCAAAATTTCGAGAACGGATACAAAAAGATTGTTGTTTGACTGTGATGGTAGATGAATTTTGTGTCAATACAGAGTCTTTTCATAAAATTTTGGCGGAAGATTTGGGCAAGAAAAAAAGTTCCTTGCCGGTTTGTATTGAACACCTGGCAGTTTGTTTCTTCTTCCTGACAGTGCACCAGCTCGAAGGGTGGTAGTTGTACAGGAATTTTTGGCCCCAAAACAAGTGCATGTTCTCAATCATCTACCCTATTTCCCCCCATCCCCTCCCCCCGGATTTGTCTCCCTGTGATTATTTTCTATTCCCAAAATTAAAGTTGTCATCGAAAGGACGCTTCTTTGACGATGTTGATGACGCCCAAGGGGTTGTAACATTGACTTTAAGGGCCTAACGACAGAACTACAACAGGGGTTGTTCCAGTGTTTGTTAGATTGTGCCACTTGCTGTATCAATGCACAAGGGCTTACTTTGAATAAAATACAGGCTATATCTTCAACTAATAATTATTTGGAATTAGTCTCATTACTTGATTGTCGGACCTTGTATTTGGTTGGTTGCTTGTTGTACCCCACCAGGACATCACACAAGCGATAAACACCCGGTGACACAAACTGCCACCATGCAGATTAGGATCACCCATGGAGAGGTCCTAGTAACCACTTTTTTCTTACTGAATCAGTATTAGCCAGTCAGTTCTTCTTCTTCTTCTTCACTTCCTCTTTTACCGCTGTGGGTGTCGAGGGAGATATAAGGTTCTGTTTCTAGCTCTTCTGGCCGCCTCGACCATAGGCACATCGTGCTGTTGTAGAGTTTCTCTGATGTTATCCTTCCATATTGTTCTTGGTCTACCTCGTGCTCTATGTAGCCAGTCAGTTACTCCATAAAATGCCTCAAACCAGTAAGGGACTCATTTCTACCCCTTTAGGTGTATTGGGCACATGGTGGGGGATGTGGTCAGCATCGCGCCGGCCACCCTTTACTTCCCAGGACTTGACCTGGTATCCATTAAAGAGTGGGTCGACCTGGGAGCCAAGGTCATTTTTTAAACAAGTCTGGTTCCGCCAGGACCCAGACCCACAATCTTGCAATCTACATCCGGGCATCTAGCCGCTACACCATGGCAGCTCATGAATCAGACTATAGCAGGCACACACATTTTCCATAGTCAGGGCAGAGCTACAAGTAGTCTTTGAGATTGAAAGGTTGTTGAAAAGCACAGACAGTATAAAAAAAGTTGTAACCCAACAACATATGAATTCTTATTTAAAAGGAAGCAGAACAAAAGCACTTGTAGAATAACTGTTTCAAAACAGTTTCACTGCATGCTGTGGTATGGACCAACTAGAAAAAAAGCAAACACTGAAAAGGACTAGCTCTATCACAGTCTCACTAAAGGAAGCAAAAAATAGTCCAGCCGTGGATGGAGCTAGACAGTAAGTAGCAATTATCCACGGTACCCCATCCAAAGACTGTAACTTTCCTTTAGAATTGTAGTGCATCTGCCCGAGATGTCAGAAACGTGTTTGGGTACTTTATTTTTAATGCACCCTAAACAAAGGAAATCCGGGACTTTCCAGGAATTTCCAACTGGATGTTATGGTAAGGATCTTAGTCAGTGGTCAGAGACACCGACTAACCCCAACCCCATCCTATAACACTCCTAGATTATTGGACTTTTCCACTATCTCTTGTTTCTGGTGAATTAAAAATGAACTACCGAAGCCCAAATACCGATGACCTTTATCAAGGGAACAATGCAGACGTGCTAATAGATCATTATGGTCTTGAGAGAAAGAATGGTGCAGCGGTGTGACCAAGGTATCTAGTCACCATCTATACTCAGAGAAAGGACAAGAAGTCATATAATCAGTTTGCTGTTGGTGCCATCATTATTGGAACTCTTCTCTGGCCACAGAGGATAGAAGACGGAGTGTTTATTGGAAGTCCCAGTGTGATGATGTTAATTCGCAACCTTAGCACGGAGGACCACCCAGGGCTTTCTGCTGGAGTTCACCCCCAGTTGAGTGCAGATGAAGGAGCTTTAATTGACAGGAAATTAATGTGAAAGAGTAGATATAATTATTTATGATTTCGTTTTTTTCTAAGATTGCTCTGTTTGTACAGGATCTTGTGTACAATATTGCTCTGTTTAAACAGTGTTCTGATGTAACAGATTGCTCTGTTTGTACGTGATTTCATATAACAGATTGCACTATGGTCTGGTATAACAGATTGTGCTATTAGTACATGGTCTGGTATAACAGATTGCGCGGTCTGTGCAGGGTCTGGTATAACAGATTGCACTGTCTGTTATAACAGAATGCGCTGTCTGTACATGGTCTGTATTAACATATTGCAGTCTGTACATGGCCTAGTATAATAGTCTGTGCTTTGTTTGGTATAACAGATTGCGTCGTCTGTGCATGGTCTGGTATAACAGATTGCGCTGTCTGTTATAACAGAATGCACTGTCTGTACATGGTCTGTTATAACATATTGCTGTCTGTACATGGCCTAGTATAATAGCCTGTGCTTTGTCTGGTATAACAGATTGCACCGTCTGTGCATGGTCTGGTATAACAGATTACACTGTTTGTACATTGTCTGGTAGAACAGATTGTTTCATGTGTACATGGTCTAATGTAACCAATGTCTCTCTTTTTCCAGCAGGATAGAGATGAGACTTCATCCATCTTGGTAGAGGTCGGCAGTGAATGTGCTTCAGATATCACCGGTTTCTCCGCTCGTGGATTAGATGTCAGCGACATGGGCTCCTTAGATTCTATGGATGTGTCTCAGATAGAAGCTGCATCAGATCCATCACAAGATGCAGTTTCTGCTGCAAATAAGTCAGGGATTTTGCAAAACAGTACTTCTGGTACAGCGTCTGAAGATTCTCAGTCTGCAGCAGTTTCACAGTTGCCAGCAGCAGCCAGATCTGATTCAGCTCAGTCACATCCATTTTCGGGTATACTTGAAGTACACGCAGAGACCACAGCTTTAGACAGTGTCTCTAGCCAGGATGTATCTGACATATCACCAGCACACAGTCAGAATGGTACAGTAGAGGTTGGTCTCTATAAGCATAGCTTCTTTGATAATCATTTACATACATGACAGTGCATTTTAATTTTTATTTTTAAACATCCGAGCTGGGAAATGGGGTTTAAAATATAATGCTTTTACAACATCATGACTCCTTAAATGAAACCCACACAAAGTGTGATATGAAAATAAGCACTGTGAAAACTGAGGTAATGAGAATAGCAGGAGACAAAATAACACGAATGTTCATACTTTTGCTACTGCAAACAAGTATGAGAAGGTCACTAACAACACAAGAAGGAACAAGGTTACGACTACCAGCATTAGAGAAAAAGTTGAAATAAGACTGTCTTAATTATATAGGAGACATAGAATGAAATAGTTCAGGCATGTAATGAGAATACAGCCAGACAAAACTGTATATGGGACTTCTTACAGCAGAACATCTGGGAGGAAGGCAAGGGAAAGACCAAGAAAGAGATGGATAAATGGTGTAGCTGAAACCTGCAAACAGATGAACAAATCCGTCACCCAAGCCACTGGGAAGCACAAGATAAAGAAAATCACGACACTGCTACAACCTGATATCAGCGAGATGACATAAGAAAAAGGTGAAGATTGTCTTCATCGCACTCGGTTTTATCCCATATGGCTCAGTCACACTTTGCAAAGAGTGATTAGTCATCTGCCGAGAGCTTAGCACAAACTACTGCACCAATGATGACCCGCAGGGATTTCTAAAGCACATGCATTTGTAGCCCCTGGAGCATGAGGCAAATTGTCTATCCACTTTACCTTATGGGTAGCGCACAGAAAAGAAAAGAACAATACCAGTACTGAAATATATAAAGATAAACTACTGTTGGACTCGATGTAATTGTTACTGTTAAGCATGTAGAAGTCAGAAATATCGGTTATCACGAGATAGAGAAGATAGCGCTATATATTGGACACATTCTGAAAAGAAAAGAACAATGACCAAAGAGGCACTGAAATGGGATTAAGAAAACAAGGACATAAAGATAAACCCCACAGCAAACATTGGCGAGAGAAGCCAAAAGTGTTGGACTCGATTCCATCAGTGATATTGAAGTAATTGCACAGGATAGAGTGGGATGGATCATTAGCTGTTCAGAAGTAAGAAATAGGAATAAACCACAGCGCAAGTACCGGGGATCTACTCGTCAGTAGAAAATTATCACACACGTTTCGCCCTTGATTCCTAGACGTATTCGGAGGTGGCCCCACCTGAGTTCATGACGCTCAGGGCGGTTCCCCGCTGCACGGAATTATGGTGTTATACTTTCGGCCAGAGACAAGACGACTTGGTGGTTTCGAAGGAGGTACTGTGAGATAAGAAGCCGCCGCGACAGCCTAATTAAAGCAGTCGGCATGCCTGGACGACCGAGCGACAAGCTTACTTTGGTTTACCGGACACATGTTGGACTTTTATTAGCAGTTGCAGAGGGACTGGCAGACAATTCGTACACGATGGACTTTCAAGGGATGAAAACTCCTTTCCGCTAGACACCCGGCTCACCGAGGCCCGTCCCCTACGTTGTTGCGCTGCGTCCAAAGCCAGCTAGAGGCCCTTTCGGCTGCCTCTCCCAGTTTTTTGAGTGTTCGTTTCCGTTCATTACCGCGCAAGTTCTTTCACCACATTGTAGAGCGAGAAACGAGGCCTCTCCTCAAAGGCTGCTAAATCACTGTACTTCTCGAGCTTGTACAAATGATTCTCCTCCATACGCGACTCAAACGGGACCGTCAACTCAATCAGGATGAGCTGCCGTTTTTGCGCAGAATGGAGAACGAAGTCCGGTCGCAGGCCGGTTTTTTACGGATCAACTCGGGATACCGTTCATGGCCTGGCAGATCAACCGCCAGTACCAGGCAGAGTCTAGCACAGATGGAGCGAATGCGTTTTTTGTTGACCTTACCAACTGGAACCTGCCCAGCCTGAGGAAACGAATGGGGGCGATACTAGAATGGCTCTGGCGTTAGCCCTCATTCTAGCCTGGTCGACAACGGCTGCTAACTCCTTTAGCACCTTGTTATGGCGCCAGGTATATCGGCCTTGACCTAGAGCTTTCCTGCACGCGGACAGGACATGCTCAAGAGTTTGCTTCGATTTGCACAACGGGCAAGTCGGATCGTGGTCGCAGATGTTAACACCGGACGGTAATACATCGTACGCCAAACGAACGATAAAGTCAGTTGCAGCACAAGATCTCACCCCATGTGAGTATTCTAGGCGATGCGCTCTCCAGGCTGACCCAATGGCCCTGCTGGGCTGCTTTCTGGACCCGAACCTCGTTTTCGTTGTCCCTCACCGTTTGTATCACCATGTCTCGGCGTTCTTTGGCTGAGGCCTTTGACCACCAATTGACTTTCCCGTGCCCCAGGCCTACGGTCGGTTTGTGTGTAAATGATCTCCTTCAATTTTAGTGCGTTCTGAGCAGATTCTATATCGAGGACTCTCCACTTGGTTCCAGTCTTCAGAGCGGGCTGGACAGCGGTGACATTGTACAAAAAGCATGGCGAGTCTTCCCGATTTAAACTCTTGTTCGGTCTTTGAACGGAAGTTTAGCTTATCGAGACATAAGACAATCCACTTTCCAAGCTGTGTTGAGGAAGTAGACGTAGCCATTTCACCTTTGACCCTCTGGACAACTCCAAGATTCACGCGAAGACTTACCTTGCCAGACTTTCAATTTTACAAGCTTCGGTTCATTTTCTAGACTCGTAAACGCCTGTTTACCTTGCACTTTAAACTCTTGGTTATCAGAACGTGTACCTTAAGGCTGTGTTGATTTTTTTCTCAAACTGCAGTCATCGTCACCTCGTAGACTGACAGTGGCCATAGGAGTTTCGGAATCAACATGAATTGGAGACACCATACCTTGAACTTTCCGACCAGCCTGCATCGCTCGATCGCGAGCAGGCCTGTAGCCAGTGACTCGTGTATTCGCCGGACCTCCGCTCTATCAGACAACTTCGAATCGTACACGCGACCGAGACTCTTCACCGGTTCCTCTAGAACCGTGGGGATCTTATTCCTTGCCACCGTAAAACTGGTTGCCACCACCCGACCCTTATTGATTGACAGACTCCTCGACTTCTGCGGTTTGAACTGCATACCGCTCCATTGGACCACCGCGTCCAATCTTTCCAGGATCGTGCGGGCAGACTCCTCGCTGCCCGTTATAATAGTCGTGTCAGCCATAAAGGCACGTAATGGTGGCATCCAGTGGTCCCCAATTTGAAGGCCCTGTCCGTAGCCGGCGCGCCCGTCTAACATGATCTGCATTGTCATGACAAAAGTATAGGTGAGATCGTAACCCCATAGCTATCCCAATCTGCAACTCAGTCCACATCGTGGTAAACGTCGAGGTAGAGAAGCGCAAAGCGAACTTGGAGAAATATTGCTCGACCATTTGATTGATCTGTGCCGGTACGTGAAACATGCGAAGGGCTCGCCACAGTAGCCTATGGGGGACTGCCCCGTAGGCGTTGGCTAAGTCCAACCATATTACGTGCAATTGTGTTCTCTCATGCTTGGCTCTCTGGATAGCTTCCCAAATCATGGTCGCGTGTTCAAGGCACCCAGAACGCCTGGAATACCACCCTTTTGAACACTCGTATCGATGTACTTGTTAGTCATCAGATACTGTGTGAGCCGGCGAGCCATGACTGAGAAGAATATCTTACCCTCGACATTCAACAGCGAGATGGGCCTGAATTGGGAAAGACTCTTCGAGTCCTGCTCTTTGGGAATGTAGACCCCATTTGCCTTTGACCACTCTGGACATATGTGATTGCGGATCCACGCTTGTCTCAACAAGGATTTTTGGGCAACGCTTGTAAAAAACGTACGGAACACCGTTCGGACCTGGGGCAGACTTGCCGCTGGCCTTTTTCACAACGTCCTCAACCTCAGACCAAAGGGGAGGTACCATTTTAAATGGTACCTTCGGCACCGAAGGCTGTTTAAGACCGCTAAGGATCTCTGGATTGTCATCGAGAGGCTCTCTCCTCTTTTTATCAGAGTACATCTTGCGTAGATGTAGCTCAAGTTCTTCCTGACTGACAACCAGAGTCCCAGACTTCGGTTGCTCGAATAGACCTCGGGCGAACTGATACGGGTCCCTAAAGAATTTCTCTCGCTCCCTTTTGGTTCTACGTCTGTTACAGAAATGCTCGGCGCGACAGAGGGCACTGTGTTTGTTCTTTAAATGCAACCAAACTTCGTACAGCCCCTCCCGTTCGCTGCCTGTAGCGGCTTTGAACCGTTTTCTAAGGGCATTCTTGTCTGCCCGACACTTCAGAATGTCCCTCTGCCTCCTGCTAGTATTCTGCTTGGCACCCGGCTGTGCCTTTACTACTGTCCCGAACCCGCGGGAGCAGTGTTCATATATTACATCACCAAATTTAGTAAGCTTGTCGCCTAGCGACTTCTTGTTTAGAGTTTGTTTAAGTACCTCACATAATGTAGCCTCCAACTTACACCACACCACCTTCTCGCTCGCAGGTGGAAACCTGATTCTGGAACGCACTTCTTCAGAAATCATCAAAGGTACCCTGACGACTCAGAAACTACCACAGGAGTGGTAGTTTTGCGACGGCGTTTACTGCGTGGAGCACCCTCGCATTTCATTCTTCCGGCATGCGTTCTCAGACCATGCAACCCCGTGAAGCTTTTCCCACATGTACAGAGCCAGCCCGGACGTTGGGCGAGTATCTCAGTCCGGGGGCTAGCAAGGTCGTCACCGAGGGTATCAATTGGATTGGGCCCTTCATTCTCCCCCCCTTTCGGAGGGCCCTGGGGGCATATTTCATTGTGGTTGTACGAAATCGGAGGTATTATACTGTGTTAGGGGTGATCAACCCGGTCCACAGTCGACATCTGTCTCCAGATGTCAGTTTATCCCCCCAGCGATACCGGGGGGGGGGGGGGGGGCAGTCTTTCCATAGGTGTCAAAAGGACTTTCCCGATAGTCACCAGTCTTTCCTGGTAGTCTTGTGGGCTAGCCACGTACAATAGGAATAAACTCACAGGGAGCAAGTACAGCGGGGATCTACCAGTCGTCAGTAGAAATTATCCTCGTCGACACACGTTTCGGCCCACGATTCCTAGACGTATTCGGAGGTGGGCCCACCTGAGTTCATGACGCTCAGGGCTGGTTCCCCGCTGCACGGAATTACCGGATATATTATCTAGGGGTACCCGAAATAGAACACAAAGCATGTAAAATCTTCTACTGCGTGTCTTATTTATTTAAGAAAAAAAAAAAAAAAACACACACACACATTTGTTTAAGCCCACCATTTCTTTGAGTAAACACTTCTTCTGTGAGAAAATTGCTTTGTGAGGCAACAACTCACCTTTAAGAAAACTTTTCTTGGAGAAAATCACTTAAAAAAAAATTAGCGAACAACTCTTCTTTGAGGAAATGACTCTTCTTAGAGAACTCAAGTTCTTACAGAAAATAATGTTTTTTTGTGTGTGTGTGTGGAAAAAATACTTTAATAAAACAACTCTTTTGAGTGAAGTAGTGTCTTGTTTTGGTAATTATGTTTTGTATATATGTCTTTGTTGCATCTCTAAAATCATATGTATTTATTCCACAGTTATAATTACTGCATTTATTGTTTTGTATTTAAATTCCACTGTGCCCATAACATAAGAGTTCACAATATAGTATTAATTGAGTGGTTTTTTTGTATTTTATTTCTCAACAGCATCACACCAACAGATGACAAAAGTACATTTAATTTTGGAAGCAAATTATACACATTTTAAATTATGGCTAAGATTTTTTGTTTTAGCAGTATTTTTTTTTTCCATTGTTTGATTCCTTGTTTGTTCATTTGTTGAAAACGTTCTTAACAGTTTTCTAATAACACTATAAGAACAGTTGCTTTTATAATATTCACAATTAATCTTTACCTTTTTAACCCCAGTATGATTCTTTCATTGTTTCCACTTTGAGCAGAAAAGGTAATAAACAGTATAAATTTAGTACTATTAAAAAATAAATATCATTATGTGACGTATCTCATTACAGAGGTAACAAAATGGGAAAGCCTTGGGTGAGCACTGTACGTGATAGGTTGAGAGCTTATATATCTTTCTTTAGCCTCTTATTGACGGGTATGGGGGGAGAAAGAAACATGGGTTTTAAAATGTATTACTTCCTCGTAACTCTAGCTTTATCCGTAAATGTTTCGGTGGTTTCTTCTTGACTTATACTAGAGATATACAAGCCCTGAATGAAATACTAGTGTCCAAGTATGGGCTCCGGGGCTGCAATTCGGAGATTAAAAGAATAGATCCACTAGCCCCTAACAGGCATATTGTTAAAAAAGGGCAATTAGGGATTTTCTGAAATTGAATATGTTGGGCAGAAAGGTATGGATACTAGTCCAGCTGTAGACCACAACATAACTACTGTTATAAGGGTGAGCTTAGAAGGAGAAGAAATGCTGGTAGAAATTTCTGATTAATTAAGATTTTACCAAATTAACAATTATTTTTTCTTTTTCTGCAGGTAGCACCCAGTTCAAGATCTGATGCAGAAAATTTAGTTTACGTACCTTCCTCTACTGCCATTGACAGTCGTAAATTGATTTTGAACCCAGCCTTCCCTGTTGAGGACCTTGACCCTGCATTTTGTTTCAGTGTCGTCAGCTATAACATCCTGGCAGATTGTCACTTGCGCAGGTTAGTTAGTTTACTAATGGTGGGCCGTCTGTGTTTGCACTTTTGATGACTGCCCTATGCAAACATACATAGGTGTGTGTTATTGGCTCTGCTGAGACTGCAGCCTGTTTGCATTTTTTCACAAGGGACATTGAGGGGCATTCTTTGCTGGCACATGAATGGAGCAGTTGTGGAATAACCTGTTTGTCATGAAGTTAGAACTCTAAGTAACTAAATCAGTGGTTTCAAACCTGGGAGGCCTGAGGGAGTTTCAAGGGGATGAGCAATTATGGGATGACCTGTTTGTCTTGAAGTTGGAACTTTAAGTAACTAAATCAGTTTTCTCAAACCTGGGAAACATGAAGGAGTTTCAAGGGGGAGCCTTGAGCAGTTATTGGATAACCTGTTTGTCGTGAGGTTGGAACTCCAAGTAACTAAATCAGTTTTCTCAAACCTGGGAAACATGAGGAAGTTTCAAGGGGGAGCAGTTTTAAAATTGAGTGCGTTTACTTGTAATAATTTGGATTTTCAGCTATAACAGGCATGAAAATAAAACAGCGCTGCTGGCCTGATGTGGAGAGTGATCTCGTTTTGCCCTGTCCAGCAGACCAAAAATAGCAGATATCAAGACAAAACAGTGTCAGCCATCACAATGATTTTTCGACACTAAATTACCAGTCAGATGCAGGGCCTTCGTGGTTACCTATAGCTTGCTCAGCAAACTTTGCTCTTGAGGCCAGGTTTCTATTCATGGTTGTAAGTATGGTGGACTTAATTGTAATTATAGTTGGCAGGCCTTCAGAATGTGCCCAGGTGTTTATGGTCCCATCTGACAAGCACACGGTGGGGACTGTAAGACTTTCTATTATGCTTGTGGTAGTTGAGCTGGCAGTGTCTTGTTCTTAGGCGGAATATTTTTGTACATTTTTTCTGTTGCGTCTGCTGATAGTCTTTTGGATGTTTATTGTTGATTTGTTCTCTCCACAGTTCTTTGTATTTTGTCTTGATAATTTTTTTTAAATCTTAGGTATGACTACTCTTACACAAAGCCACAGTTCCTTGACCAGAAATACAGGCACACACTTCTGCTGAAGGAGCTGGACTATCTGGATGGAGACATAGTCTGCATGCAGGAAGTCAGCCCCACTTACTACACTCAGCTGTTGCAGCCAGAAATGAAGAGGTTGGCTATATTCTTCCATTGTGTAGTTAAGAAGCTGTTTAACTAAGTTTATTCAAGGGCCAAAATTTGGAAAACGGGAATCGTCATGGGTCAGATGCCTGAGCCCTAGCATAGAGAGATCATTAATGTAATACAACTGGCAGTGATCAGCAGAACACCTGCTAAGTCTTGTCGGGCCACTAGTTGAATAGCCCTGTTATAGTGAATGCTTTTGATTATGCGGTCGTGTGTTTTTATGTGTGTGTGTGTATGGATAGTTTCGGTTTTATAGTCTTTTCTTTGGGGGTCATGGTGTTGTAGCACTAGCTGGATGATGACCACATCACCTATTACATACCAGTTAGCCTACACAAATACAGGTCTAGCACTGAGTTAGTTGCGTATCCTTTACAGGACTTTGCAGTACCACCCCCAGCAATTGTTGGATAGGTATATACCAGATTTGAAGAGGGTCATCTATTTGATTCGTCACAGTTTAAAAATTTTTATTTTTATTTTTTAGAAATTAAAAAGTAATGTTACGGAGCAGAGAAAGGTATTCATTTATTTCCCTGTGGTAGCTCTGGAGCCCATGGGAAGTGCTCGATGATCCCAGGTTTGGAACCACAGGTCTTGACTAAAGAGGGGCATAAAACATTTTAGACATTAACAAAGATGGGTGTGCCAGATGACAAATGGTTTCTTGTATAAGGTAGCATAGACCATTTGGCTATTTTTTTGCCCACCATCAAGAAATGATAATTTTTCATGTATTATCTGGAGCTGAGGATATGATAGCTATTTGCTCTTGTTTTATGTAAAGTTGAGGATTTGATTGGCTATTTGTTTGTGTCATATTTGGTCATGTGTGTACAGTCAAGGATATCTTCTTTTTCTTCTGTCATTCGCCTGAAATAAGTTGTCTATATCAGCAATTGTGTCTCTTGTATAAATTTCACTGTTGTTGTTAGTTCATTCAGTGGTCCATAGAGTTTAGGTTCCACTGTTGTTCTTTCTGTCCAAAAGGTTTGCTGTCGTTGTTAGTTCATTCAGTGGTCCATAGAGTTTATGTTCCACTGTTGTTCTTTCTGGCCAAATGGTTTGCCATAATGTGTCAAATTCGGTGCAGTCCTGGAGTACATGCTCTGCTGTCTGGGGCACCTTTCCACAGGTACACATGGCTGATACGCCTATCTTGAATTTTGTGTACATGTGTTAGTCAAGGAAATGATCGCTGTTTGTTCATGTTTCAACAATGTCAAGAAAATGCTGGCTCTTTGATCATGTTTTGTCCTATATCAAAGATATAATGGCCGTTTGCTCATATTTTTTCCACTGTGCAGGATGTGATGACTAATTCATATTTTATCTTCAGTCGAGGATATGACGGATATTTCATCAAAAGAACGAAAGATTTTTGGGATGAAGGGGAGGCCACCTTTGTGAAAACATCAAAGTTTGAAGTCACATCCCATCAGAGCATATCTCTGGCAGATCTTGCATTCAAGGTAATCTTTATCTCATGTTTTCTATTGTGTGATGATGATTTTGAAGAATTGCTGGCTGCGCAATTACAAAGCTGGCCTTTCATGCGGCAGATCCAAGTTCAGGTCTTTGATAAGGAGATGAACGATTCTTCTGTCAAAGGCAAAAATAAAACTCTAAAGCTTCACAGTTCACGGTGACTGACTAGCCATACAGTCCTAAATGCTCAGGTCCAAGGACTTCCCTACCCTACACCACCCTTTAAATGCACCAGAGACAGATAGGGATAATTTCATTTCTATGTTTATTTTAGTTTTTTAAGCTGAAGCCCTGATTTCTTGCTTCAAAATGAATTTACTTGGCATGTCCCTTAAAGGGTGTTGAAGAACTAAACCCTAGCCTTTAGCCCGTCTTGCTAGCTCAGTTGGTTAAACCTGACTTCGTGGCGACCGGGTTGCGAACTCCTTGTGGTCTGGGTTTACTCCCAGATAAAGGTAGAAAAGCCACATTTCTCCCAGATTTGCAGTATCTATCATAGAATTAAGGCTGAAGGGTTGCAATATCCATAGGACCGAGCCAAATGGTTAACATCTCATGGTTTCTGGATATTTTAAAAAAAAACATTTAGTAGTTTACCATATCTGAATGGTCGGCTCTCGATACCACTGTTGAAACCAGCATGCAGGACTATTTGTGGCAACATTTCCTACAGCTGGGATTGAACCCGACACCTCAGAATTATGATGCATGTTCACAGAGCCTAAGCCACATATGCTGACAGTGGGGAACTAATGAATCTCTTGCCAACCAAAGTTATTTTTTTGGAGTATCATCATCCATGTCGTTTACCTTGTGTCTGACCTCCCTCTGTCTCTGTTGGCCAGTTTTAGTCCACAGTTAATAAAATGTTTGACAGTCTTGAATAAATCTTTTGGGTACAGGTTTTTCCAGTGCATGTTCAGAACTGATATATTTGGTATGAATGTCTGAAAAATTGCAAGAGGCTTTCAGAAAGTAATACTTTGTATTTCTTTTCCACAAACTTGTGCAAATTGTTTGAAATTCACTTACAGTCTAACTCATTATGTCCTTTATCTATCATAATTTTCTTTTTAATGTCCACTTTTATGTCAGCATAAAACAAGGGCAAGCATGCCTTGCTTGTATAATTTTTTTGTTACTCTACTTTCTGAAGCTCACACTCTCAGAACCCAGTGACCAACATTGCTCCTTATTGACAGCAAATTCTGTACTTAGCACACAAGTTTATAAATGTTCACCATCACAATTTCTTTTTCCGCAACATAAATTTAGCAGCTTGCTGTTTTTAACAATATTGTCCTCACCCTCTATTTTAATCCATCAGTGCAGTTTGTGTGGGTGGGTAAATGGGTGTGTGTGTGGGGGTGGGGGGGGGGGGGGGGGGGGGGGCATTTTGTACCTTAAGTATTGACATTTCAGATTTGAATCAACATTTTATGTTTCTTTTTACATTATTTGCTGAGAAAACCAAAGTGTGCTTCGCTTTTTGGAATGCTTCTCAAATGTTGGTGTCCAGTATACTTGTATTGTTTTTGGCTTTACCGTCTTAGGCTCTAATTTAACCCTACCAGACCTGATCCCCTGAACCTAGCTGCTCCCTATACCTGAGCTCCTGGGCATTAACATGAGAAAAACCATCATGATATACACAAATTTTAGTTACATGGAAACAAGTGGTTAGAAAAAGTTGAAACTTGAAGACATTGTAGAAAATATGTTTACCTTTTATCTGGTACCAATATTCTACCTTTGTGTACCGATCTACCCAGCAGGATCAGCCTTGTCTCACAAAGTAAGCACCAGATGTTGCTGTTTGAGGGACATGCCTCCTTTTCTTACTATTGATCTAGTTGGACATCTATAATTTTCAAGATTTTCCTTATCACTAGAGGTCTAACTGTGTCACTTCGACTAGGGATGTATTCTTCATGAAATTCTGACTCCTCAGAGTCTGAATCAACCAAGTGTCATTCACATGTTGGACTGAAAAGCCAAGACCTACTTCACTTTCCTGTTGAAGTGCTTGGTTCATCTGCCGCTCATTTCATTGTGAATTTTCAGAATGTTTTCATGTGAAACCACACAAAGTAAATACAAACACTTATAGGCAGCCATTCGCAATGACTAACCAGGAGGTTTAATCATGATTGATTGGTTATGTTTAGTTTTCGACGCGTTTTATCGAGTAGTACACAAAGTACCGAAAATTAGGTACAGCTGTTAAGCGACAATTAGGAAATTACCAGAAACGTGGTGCCGCGGTCTGGTAGAGTTAAAATAGGCAGCTATCTGAGAAATCATCATCAAGTTTATTGCTGATTGTGTGATCATGTTTCTTCAGATCTTGTGATCTCTAAAAGTCTGTATAGGGAATAACTGCCCGCATTTGGTCTCCAACTCTCGGTTTCATCTCCTGGTTGTATACGTTCTGAGACTGCCATTTATCCATCTCTTGGTACTGTCCTCTCTCTTATATCACTGTCTACCTCTTGCTTATATGCCTTCTACTTCACCTTACTTGTGTTTTGTAAGAGTGTTATGTCTTATAGTGGTTAGCCGAGTTTTTGGAAGGCTGTGCTGTCATGCAAGGAGATCCAAGTTTGATCCTGGATAAGGGGATGGATATTATTTCCGTCAGGACAGAAATATAAATTAATTGTAGCCTGCAATTTATGGTGATTGAGCTAGCTGTGCAGTCTTTAAACCTCAGGCTTACGATTTCCCTCCCAAATCTTACACCACACTAAAGTGGTGAACATGGGCAGGAAAGACACATGTCTTTGTTTCTTTCTTTTCTGATTGTTATCAGCTTCTCTTTTTTTCTTCTATATTTCATTTGTAATATTTCACAGTTAACACTGATTAAGCTCATGATGTATTTATTTCTTCGTGCAGTTCATTTCTATTTTTCTGTCAATTCAGGAAGTAGATGATAGCGGACTCAGTGAGGACATCAGTAAGGCAGCAAAGAAATATCTAGACCGAGCAGATGTGATTTTGTTGACTGAGCTGAAGTGTAAAAGGACCGGCAAAACTGTCAATGTGTGCAACATTCATGTGGTTTATGACCTTAAGGCTCTGGACGTCCAGTGTATTCAGGTATGTTCATTCTTGTATGTTTTTATTTTGCCTTATGACATTTCTTGTGAAGGTGTACATCTTCTGTAGATGTTAAGGAAAGCGTAGAGTGAGTATTGCAGATAGATTTGTTGTACTGGACTTCTTATCTTCTTTGCATGGCTTTTTAAAATTTGTTTTAAAGATTTTCAAACATTTCACTTATGGAACTGCTACGTGAAGATTTATAACCACAGTGACTCAGAGAGCCTCATTTCAGATGTCCGTCCTATGGTAACAAATTCCCGGTACCCCGCTCGTCCTATAAAATAGTTGTATTGTGGGATATACTATTACCTTGGTTCCCTGTGTGGGTTCCAGGGCCCCATTATGGGTGACAAGATTAGACCCACTGCCTCCCTAACTAGCATGTTGTAAGAGTCCACTGACTGGGTGCTTCTTTTGAAGTCAGAGTGCCTCTGCCTGAGAGGCAAGGAACCAACAATTTGCATGCAAATAAGTCAGATCTGTAAAACAGATATGCACACAACACTCAGGTTCAGAATCCAGACTAAAGTTTAGAGGTAGTCGAAGAACCAGTACTTTCCGCCAGAGTTTACATCAGTGAATGCGAAGAAGGAGAAGAAGATTACCTTGGTGTAGTCTGCTGTTCTGAGTTGGTGGGCTCTTACTGTTTCTTGTATGTCTATCTATTTGGCTACGTTAGGCAAAAAAAAAATAAGTAAATAAATAAAGTAAGGACTCCTTTTTCACACTTTTGGCACATTAGATATATAATGCCAGGCCTACAGAAAAGGAAATATCAATGGTGTGTCCTGTCAGCTCCTTTCTTATGTGTCCACACTTAGACATATATGCCTGTGATCATCATTATATCATGTCGCTTACTGATAAGCATAGCTTGTCAGGGTATACCATCTCACACGACCACCAGTCTCTGATCAGATCAATGTTGTTTTCATGATTATGCTTTATGGCAAAGCCATCCAGGCATTGATATATTTCTCTTTCCTTGGCTCTTTTCCCATTGAGTTTGATAAACGACTATAAAGTTTTCAGTTGCTCTTAGATTTCCTTAGTTTGTCTGCTGATCGTTCACACATGTATAGGCTGCATATAGTACTTTAACTGTTCTTGTTGCTGCCACTGACAGCTTTTGGTCAGTTGGTCAGTGAAAATGTTTTCTTTCTTACTGCTTTTGCTGTGGCAGTGTTTGCTTTGATCTCTACAAGGCATCGTCTGTCAGATATTATGCTGCTGCCTCCAAGATCATTGCACCGTCATTTATTTAGCAGTTTACCTGCTTTTTACATTTTGGTGTTGCTGCTTTTTGTTGAAATGACCTGAATTTTAGTTTTCTGTGAATACCCTTCATTTCTCACTTCATTATTCTTCCACATTTGTTCCCAAAAGGGGAGATAGCACATTGTTTTGTGGTTGACAACAAGGCTGGGATATCCCCACTTCTTTGCTCAACACATCTGATTGAAATGCATTGTCTTGTTGATATGATTGTTAGGGTGCAGTGCATCTGTTGTTTTTTTTAATTACCAAAAATGGAACCCTGTGGCGCACACTAGGAGCTTTTTTGATATATTACAAGAAAATGTAATGTAACTCTTGTCACAGCAGTTAGAACGTATCCATGTAAACCCTCCCTTTCTTAGAAGCTGTTGAAGAGTATACATTCATATAGTTCCATTGGCCTGTTAGTTGATTATGTCTCTGCTTCATCTTCTACCACAATCCTTCCAGATATTGCTGCACTGAATCCTGATGTCAACAGTGACAGGCACTTCTCTCTTCCCCTGTTCCTCCCCCTTTTTTTTTAATTCTTCTCTTTCTTGTTTTCATTTTTTTCTTTCTCCCTCTTCTTCTGCCCCCCCCCCCCCCCCCCCCCTTCTTTTTTTTTTTAGGTAACTAGAGTTTTGCTGTCTCTTAAAGTGTCTTCTTAAATAAAAAATTTTACAAAATATTTTACAGTAATTTAGCTCAGCATCACTTTAGCATCAGAGGCTCAAGGGGTAATCAAAGAGAATAAAATTGGCTCATGATGCGTTTATTGGGCCTCTAGGTAGTAACCTATGTTGCATTACTTGGGGCTCAGAGAGTTAAAGTTTGTATTATAAAACCTGAAAATACATTTTCCATAAGGAAACATGTTTTTTTTTCTCAATATTTGCAAATTAGGTGGCCTGTGCTATTAAGCAGCTTGTGGCGAAGGCAGGCAATGATTCCTGCCCTCACATTATCTGTGGGGACTTCAACTCAGAAGTGACCAGTCCTGCCTACCAGCTTGCCAAGGATGGCTATCTTTCAGATGACCACATCCATAAACTGCAGTCTTTACAGAATCTGGAAATTACTGATGAATCTGTAAGTGATTATAAACCGTCTGTCAAAATATTTATGGCTAGCATCTTGTGTTTAAAATGCTTTTCAGTTTTGTTTTTTAATTGGAAAGATCTGGCCGACACTCAACACTCAGGGAAAGTGCAGTTTTCAGACTGATGCTGATACCATTTGAACTGGAGCTCTCTCCTGCCTGCTAAAGATGGTAATGGGGTGCTTAAGGGAATATCTAGAGTACTATGATGTTGTTACTTAGCTCAGCTCAGGTGAACCCCAAAGATATCACATGATAATTCCAGCCAAAGTAAGATTATATTGCATTGTGACATGGTTATATGGGTCGAATGGCTTGAGGATTAAAACATAGGTTCATTTCATGATAGACAAGAAAAGGATTGAGTGGCTTTCGAGCAAACCATGATGCGACTGATTTTCTACAAAGGCTCATCTAGCCTAAAATTAATACCAAGAAATGTCCTGGGAAGTAACTGCAGTCAGCATGATGAAGACTCCATCCCCCATTAGGTTCTGACTGGTCTTTAAGAAATTTCTAGCAACACTGGTATGAACAGTATCTTTTAGTGCCCAGTTTACTTGGACAGTGTATGACTGATTAACTCCAAGTTAGGTGTCGAATAGGACGCTGCCTAGGTGTATAGTGTCTAGACACTTGCCTGTGGATTTGATAGCCATGGGTTCAAATGTGAATTAAGTCAGATTTTTTAAAAGAAAATGACCTTGGCTCCTAAATTGATCCGGCTTTAAGTGGGTGCCAGGTAAATCCTGGGAAGTACTGATGGCCAGTGTGCTGTTTACCACATCAACCACCAAGTGCTGATTGGTCTATAAAATATAGGGCTAACCCTATTTGACCATTACACCTGAAGGCACAGAAAGGGGTCTTTTACCTTTATATGTGTTAAATGCTACACTTCGACAAATGAAGCAGTGAATTATAAGGTCAAATGATCAACTACAGGTTCCAATGTTATAACCAGTTAGATGGGATTTGGATTATATTGACTGCAGTTTATGTTCACCATCATTATGTGCCACTCTGATCGGTGCAGAGTTCCTGTTGCTCTATAAATAAATGCTGTCCTCTGTTCTTGATTTTATCCCTGATCTTTCTCTGTGCCACTCTGTAATACACTTGAGCATTTCCATCTTTTGTCTGTCCCTGTCTCTGTCTTCCTCAATCTTCCAGGCATAGTACAGTCTTCTCCGGGTCATCTACTCTCTTACATTCCAAGAAAGTATCATGTCCGCCTCTAATGCAAGCAGACCTTATAACAATCACAGTGTGTATGTTTGCCCAATAAGGAACTCACTGATGGCGTACTCCTGATCCTGTGATAGTGTATTGCGGATCTAGCATTAAGATATGGTGAAGATATTTTTTTTTTTTAAAGTGAAGTTTAGGACCCTTTTCATGCATGTGTCACCTCAAGCATATAGTCCTAGACCTGTAGTTTTAAAGGCAGCACTTGATGCATAGTGATGAGATTCGCCATTGCTTTAACTGCCTTTACTTCTCATGGCATTATGTGAAACCTATTTTAGGCTCGGTTAACCTGGGAGACAAGGTCAATTTTGAATTAACTTTTCCTCAGTGAGGTTTGAATCCCAGACCTTAGGCAAAGCAGGCGAGTGTCTAGCTGCTATGTTGTGGCAGCTCCCGAAGAGATTACTAGTTACCAAAGAGGTGCTAATTTTAAAAAAAAATGACATTTCCTGTAATGTATTAAACACGGTAAATTTACTTTGTGTGTTATTGCAGTCCCGTGCTTTAGTCCACCACATGTGGAGGGCTTTCCAACACACCTCGTCCAATTTGAAGAGTGCTTATGAACAAACACTGGTGAGTTGGTTGCTGTTTGTCTAGTTATGTTATAAACTTCATGTGGGTGTAATTCTCCTGTTTTCCTTGTTTGACTTCTTTTATAAAATAAAAAACTCAGGTAATCCCCATACGTTTATTCTTCTGTACTGTCAGTGGAACTACAGCGGTACATTGGTATTTGAATGATCCGGTTACAAGGTTAGGCTCTCTAGTTGTCTTAACCCAGCATATGAGTCGAAATTCGGTATGCAAGCTGGAGAGAGAAAAACTCCGTTTTCCGATAGCATCTCAATGACTTTTGAATGCATTAAGCCATGCTATCATTGCCTAAGTAGGACTTAGTTGAAAAGGCACTTGATGATAGACTAACATCGTGGCCAGAAGTAACCCAATATTTCTGTTGCCTGTAAAAAAAAAAAAATGCTGCACATTTGTTCGCATTATTGAAATGAAAAACATCATTTTTTTTAAAGGAGGGCTAGAATAAATTAAAATTATTTACATACATTTTTATAGGAATAATAGTTTCAGGGTATCAGTTATTCACCATACAAGCTCAGCCGTGGAACAGATGAAATTTGTATCCTGTGGTTCCCATGCACTTTTCTCCTTGTGACTCATCCAGTTGTACCACTCTGTCTCAATTTATACTTTAACTCACCCTGTCCTGAAATGCTATTATTTAAACTTTTTATACCCAAGAGTTGATTACTTAAAGTGATACATTCTGAGAATAAGAGCAGTCAGTGTAACATCTGCTGGGTACAAAACAAGTTGTAACAAATAATTTAGTTTCTTTTTTGTGCTCGGGTAAGAACTAGATCTTTAAAACAGGGGTCTTTGTGGTGAAGCGTTCAAGCTGTTTCCTAGCCCTGTGACAGTTGTGGGTCCATTTCATGGCTGCATTGTTTGGTTCACGGGTGCAGTTATTTCTTAGACCGTTGGGGATAGTCACCAGAGCTATGGTGTTTGTGCTTACTGTTATACGCAGCTAGCCATTTTGCGGAGGGAGACCAATAAAATCTGATGCAGTTAAGTCTTCTTGACTTTAACCTTTAGGTCTAAAAACAGATTTGACACCCATATACATTTATTGGTTGGTTATCAGTCCTATAAGTTCTCTGCCTTCATCATCAGACATAAGCCTACAAGAATACTGTTTCTTGCTGCTTTAGAATACTGATTATGGAGACACCAGTCATCATGTCTCACCTTATCTCATTTACTGCCAAACTTGGTATCTGAAAATTCCGAGCATGTGCTTCAGCACTGTAAACTGTACGCTGCTTACAGAAAAGCCATTTAACCTATCCTTTTTTTGTCTAAACCTTTTTGAGTTGCAGTTATTTTCATAAAGGCTGCTGGCTTCTTGATATAAGTATTCTAACAGAAGAATTGATAATAGAGTGAATAAATGCATTTTTATTTCCAAAGGGTTACAAATAGGGCGCACAGGCCTGTCTTACGTTTGACCCTTTCAGGCACCCATCCTTCATACAGCAGTTGTCCTTTGTGTATATTATTTTCATGTATCAAAATTTACAGTATGAGTGCAAAGTAAAAAAATACAAAAGCATTTATAGCAAATGCATCATTTAAAATATATGCAAAAATACACAGGCACATACTAGGCAGGCGTACAGATCCAAGCATACACACACAGGTGCAGAACCAAGGACAAACGCACACACGCACACACACAGTATTAACAAGCATACACTCACAGACACAACATATACACACAGACACAACATACTCACACTGAAACAACATGCACAGTCTCACAGACACAATACAAGCATCCAGGCTCATACAGAGACACACACATACACTTACAGGCACAGATAATGAAGAACCTATTTTAAAAAAAATGTCCTATTGACAATGATATTTTTGTTTATGTTGCCTAGGGAAAGGAACCACCTGTCACCTCGTTCACTAAAATTACAAATGCCACATTGGATTACATTTTCTACTCTGCTGCATCTCTGGATGTCACTGGTGTCTTGGAAACTTTGGATCGCCCTGTGGTGGATGCCTCAGGTGGTCTGCCGTCTGACAGCATCCCCTCGGATCATCTCTCCTTGAAAACTGTGTTCCGCTTGAAGTAATTTTGCAAATTATATCTCCTGATTTGTATTAACTTTTGGATTTAACAGTTGTTTATGTTCTGAGGTGAACCACTGTTAGGCCTTTTTATGTTTGCTGTTTAATTTTACTAATTTGTTTGGTTCAGTGATAGTAAATTCAGCCACAGTTTTTGATTTAATTTTAAAACTTGTTTTTAAAATTGAAAACTGTTTATCTGATGAAATGATTATCATATTCAAATTTTTTTTTAAATGTCTCAGGTAAAAACATTTATTTACTGCATTCACTACTGTTTATGAGTGTGTAGAAATAGCATTCTTGGTGGTAATAGGTATTTTTCATCTTCTTTCCTATATCCCTCAGTGGAGCATAGGCCAGCAGTCAGCTCACACTTTAAAAAGAGTTTTTTTTTTAAATTTTTTAAATTTTTGTAAACTGACCATTCAAGCTCAGATGCCAGGGTTATAATTAAAGTCTTCAATCTGGTAACTTGCTTGTCTGTCTGGCTTGAAGTTCGATCATCTTCTGTCTTACATCAGCTGGGTTGTTTAGTCTCTAGAGGTTGGATAACGATGGCTGGTATCGTTCCACATGTGTCAGTTCATGGGGGTTTCTTGCTGGCATAGCCCTAAAAACTAGTCCTGATAAAGGACTAGTCCTGATAAAGGACTTTGTCTGTTTCTTCTATGGCTTCTGGGTTTCCCATTGGTTAGAGTTTATGGGTATAGGTCTTTTGTGCCGCCTGACTATTTTTTGCATTTTTGTCTTCTGCTTCGTCTTTGGGCTGCTGCTTAATTTCCTAGTATCGCTTGTGCCTTTTTCACTGCTTGTGAATTTAAAAAAAAAAAATTCAATTTCTGTCTTTTTCGTTGTTTACTAACACTGACTTTTTTTTGGTAAATTGTCTAATCTTTTGTTTCATACAAAAATTTTGAATTTATATACTTACCTTTTCTCTGGTTCAAGTTGTTTTTGCAGAAACTATTTTACAAAATAGCACAGTAAAAAATCATTGATCTTCCATGCTCCCCACCTTGTACTCTGAATGTTTTGTTTGTTAATTATTAATCATATTAGTTTTGTTTGTTTTGTTCTGTACTTGTTAATTTTGCAACCATGTTTCAATAACATGTTCTGTAAAATTTGAAATAATGTTTCTGTGTTTATTATCTCTTGGATGTAGAATATAACAACTTCTGAGAAGTATTGAGTCATAATGTAGGGTCTCTTAATGTTGAAAATAGAAAACTGAATATTATAAGATTGTTTTACATCTGTCTCTTCTTAAAAGTCTGCTTAGTTTTAAAAGTAATAATTGTCTTCATTGTTGTGGGATAAAATACATAAAATCGATGAAATAACCATATTCCATGAAAACATAAACAGTCAAACACATGGGTTCTGAGAGCCACTGTTGTGTAGGGTATAAACAGTCAGACACATGGGTTCTGAGAGCCACTGTTGTGTACACTTTAAACAGTCAGACACATGGGTTCTGAGGGCCACTGTTGTGTGTGGTATAAACAGTCAGACACATGGGTTCTGGGAGCCACTGTTGTGTACGGTATAATCAGTCAGACACATGGGTTCTGAGGGCCACTGTTGTGTGCGGTATAAACAGTCAAAAACATGGGTTCTGAGAGCCACTGTTGTGTACGGTATAAACAGTCAGACACATGGGTTCTGAGAGCCACTGTTGTGTACGGCTAAACACTTGCCTGTGGATTGGAAGATCAGGGTTTTGGATCCTGATGGAGCTAGAATTTCTTTTCACAAATGACTTTAGCTGTAAAGTCGACCCAGCATTGAGTGAGTACCAGATGCAGTTCTGGGAAGTAAAGTTGGCCAGCGTGATGTTGGATATCACCCGCCCACTGCCGATTGGCCTATAAAATATAGGTCTAGCCCTGTGTGCCTAATACACCTGAAAGCATGGAAAAGGGTCCCTTACTTTACTTAGGTTCTGAAACAACTAGGAATTAAAAGAGAGCTGTTGAAAGAAATTTAAAAAAAAAAAGACAATTGAAATATTTTGACCTAAAGACATGACTCCTATAAAAGCCATACTGGATGAAAAGTTGAAGGCAAGTGAGCATGAGGCAAACAGAAAGTTAAGTCAGAGGACAAAATCAAGAAATTAATGAACAACATTTGAAACAGTTTACACCCACACACACAAAAAAAGACATTGGCATCCGTTGCAGCCAGTTTTCATTGTGAAGACTGGGCCTGACTGATTGATTGAGATAAAATCTGTAGAGAAAACATTTAACAGTAACTGTTAACAATTATTCTGATTGATTCATTAGCATTTTATTTTGTGCCCCTGTGCTGAGTGTCATAAAAAGAAATTACCAATTATTTATAAGTTGTTGCTTTGTTCCAGTTATCTAGCCTTTGGGGGCCGAGAATTGTATGCATAACATCATTTGTTGGGTGTCACAATATGTTAAATTTTTACATATTCATTAAAAAAAATGTACAATCAGGGCTTGGTAAATCTCGTTGCGATCGATGGGGTGTTTGTAATTGGAATATCAGTTAAGACATTTTAGTGCAGAGTGGTGTCTCCAGTACGGAGTGTTGTCTCATGAGGTGCACTGATGGTGGTCTTCTTCTTCTTCTTCTTCACTTCCTCTTTTACCGCTGTGGGTGTCGAGGGAGATATAAGATATATGGTGGTCAGCTGTAGTAATCTTTCTTCCCTCCAGGATTTCTGGCCACAGGATTAACACCTCAGGGTTGAGAATCAAACAGAAGCCAATCTCAGAAACCCTATTCACTTGTAACGCATGTAAATATGTATTAGGTTACCAGTATGGTGGCAGCATCTGTGGCATAGGCATAGCGAATGGGTTTCGTAACGCTGAAGTGACTAAATGTGGATGTCTTGATTGTGGTTTTATCTTGTATGCCGCTAGAGTTTGCCTTTGAGATAGATACAGTAATGTATATAAATGGATGACTGTACAGTATCAGTTTAGTTGTACTCATTTTTTACTCAAATATTCATCTTTTTAAATATTTATCAACAGCATGTTTTTTTAACATGTTCATTTGATATTTCAGTTCATTTGTTTAGAAATATAGTTGCATAATTTATAGTAAGCGATACACATCTGTTTGTTGGTTTTAAATATCCACCCATATAAAAATTTATCCAAAGCATTATTTTAGCAGATTTATTTGATATTTCGGTTGAGTTATATAAGTTCATAATAGGTTGTAAACATTTGTATTGTTCAAATAGTCATCTATATGAATATTAATCAAAAGTATTTCTCTTAATATGTTCATTATATGTTTCAGTGGACTCGTTACAGAGTTTATAAAAGATTCTAAATTGTACATATCATCATAACACTACCAAAATAAATCTCTGCCTATGTGAAATATATGGCTGAAACTTGTTAACTTGCCTTTCTTTTTATTTCACATTTTATTATTTCTGGCTTCTCTTGATAACTGCAAACCATCAGTTCTTTTATTTGTCTTGTCCTCTTTCAGTCACATAAGACTGTAGAGTTATGCTGTTGAGTAGGTGCCTGATAGCACTGCTGGTGACTGTATAGTCTGATGTGAGAATGACAGTCTATAACAATTTCTGCATCTCAGAGAGGAGGCAGGCCCCACAGCAAGTGACTGCATTTTATATACTTGTCCTCAGTTTGTTGGATCGGATTGCGCTGAAAGATTAGGTTTATTTCTAGGAATAACTCTTTGTATAAACTGTTTTCAGATGTGTATTATATACACATGACCATATTATGCATATTTGTATCAATTTTTTTCACTTATCAAGTTGCTTCAATTATTCTGTTTCACTTGCAAAGACACTGACTCCAGTAACTATTTTTCAGTGATTCACACTTCTTTAGTATTCTCTGGCACCACGCCAAAGTCACAAGTGATTATTACTTTGAGAAAATTGCATTTGAACTTTGAAATCAGATGAAATTTATATGAAAAATAATACCTCTTTTTGGCCTATTTGGAATATGTATTCACGTGTGTGTCTATGTCAAAGTGTAAAAGAGACAAATAATAGCCATGAGAATTGCTAGAATAGATCCACTGCTTCTCTAACAAGAATGTCACAAAAGGCAAGTAAGTAGGGCTTTTTCTTTGAAGTCAGATTGAATCTGCCTGAGAGGGGAGGAACCAGTGGTCTGCATACAGGTAAGTCAGATCTGTACAATGGATGCGTACCCAGAATTAAGTTCTGAAACAGGACTAAAGACCAGAAGTGGGTGAACAACTAGAACGTTTTGCTGGAGTTCACAGCTAGTGAATGCTAATAGGAAATAGATTACGGTTACATAGAAACTAAAGACATTTCTAGGAATAGTCTGGAAAGCGAGGTTGGTTACAAAGGAGACTCCGTTCCACCTCATTCAGCCATGGCCTGGAATGTGTGAAATTCTTAAACCTCAGGTGCAGTGGGGCTGAAACTTCACACCTCAGCTGCAGTATATACAGTGGGGCTGAAACTTCACACCTCAGCTGCAGTATGTGCAGTGGAGCTCAAACTTCACACCTCAGCTGCAGTATGTGCAGTGGGGCTGAAACTTCACACCTCAGCTGCAGTATGTGCAGTGGGGCTGAAACTTCACACCTCAGCTGCAGTATGGAACTTTAATGGTTTTAAAGAGGCAATTCTTATAGCTTGAGGCCTTGTTGAATAGTGTTTGCACTGTTTTGCTGGTACATGGAATTTTAGCATGGCATCATTTGCACTAGGTTTGTTTTATCTGAATTTACACACATTTTAAGTATGTTGTTATTGCCGCTACATTACAGTAAAGTTATTATCCAGTAGATACTTGCAGTGTTCAGATCTGTACGTGACAGTTTTGCAGATGTGGTTAGAGATGGTTGGCTGAACAGGTAGAACACTGCACTCTCATATGGGAATCTTTAGTAAGGTGGTGAAAATTTGTTTCTGTCAGAGAGTTACTGATTTGAGAATCGACATCATAGTACATTGGGCATACCCAGACTTGCCCCGTCTCCGGCAGAAAATGTCTTAAGGTGTGGATACTAATCTGCATTCTTGAGAAATCCAGCAGCAGTTCAGCTGGTAGAGAAAAACACATAGCACTCTTCCCAGATCTCAAATCTGTGGTCCCGTTGGTGAACAAACGATGCAGAACTTTTGATCTGTGAACAGCACTTCATGGATTGTGTCAGAACTTAGATCTGTGAATAGCACTTCATGGATTGTGTCAGAACTTACGATATGTGAACAGCAGTTCATGGATTGTGTCAGAACTTACGATATGTGAACAGCAGTTCATGGATTGTGTCAGAACTTACGATATGTGAATAGCACTTCATGTATTGTGTCAGAACTTACGATATGTGGACAGCACTTTATGTCAGAACTTATGATCTGTGAACAGCAATATGTGGATTGTGTCAGCAATCGACAAGATTTATAATATAATGAATCCTGTCCCTAGAAGAGTAATTAACACGATGAGTTGTTTACAGATAGGCTGTAATATCTATATCTTTCAGTTCAGCATATATGAAATCGCCTTTTGCAGCATGCTTCTGGGGTGAAGGTTTGGGAGACCGCAGCGGGTCTCTTGTTTTTAGAAGCCCCGAAACACCTACTACCAAGAAGATGCATACTAGCAGTTTGATGAGAGAAGTAGCATCTCGAGGTTCCTCACAGAATGTAACGGGCTGACAGACTGCTTGTTCAGTAAACTAATAAAAGAAAGTACTAATAAAGCTGCACATTCGGTGCACTTAAAATGCCAGGCCACATTTTGTCTACAAAAATGTTCAGCAAATGCAGAACAGAGAAATTGATTTCATGCTAAACCAGTTTGAGGACTGATTTAGTGGAGATGACAACAGACAAATTGGGTTATTCTGTCTTTAAATATAACCAGTCTGCCGTCTCAGAGTGCGCGCAAAAAAACAAAAAAGTTTTATTCTCTACAAACTTATGTATCATTTTTGTTTGTATATGAAAATATTTGAAATTTAGTACACTTGATAACTGGAGATTTTATAAACACTAATATTGTGTATAGTGATTGTTGCATATAAACCTACTTTGCCATTCTTTTGATTATATCACATCTGATTTTCTTGTTTAGATTTCATTTCACCAATGTCTTTTTTTTTCTGTATTGTATGTAACCATTTATTCATCCTGCTTACTGAAAGTTCTGCTGTCTTTTATTTCAGTGACTTTAATTACCTTGACCTTGATCTGTGATGCAGAACCTGCAGCAGAGCATCTGATTTTAAGGCTTTCAATTTTCTTACAGTCTACTGATGTTTTGTATACAGAGAATGGTACATGGCTTGTGTTTATAAGCTGTTCAGGAGAAATGTTCATTAAAATTTACATCCAGAATAAAACGTAGCTGATTTTTTCTCTCATTTTTTTAAATGTTGATACACATTTGTTAATTTGTTTGCTGTTTCTAGTTAAGCAGTTTAGTTTTCCAAAAAATTATGTTTAAACTTTTTTCCACTTTCTCTTGGTGTTCACCAGGTGTAAACTCTGGCAAAAAGTTCTGGTTCTTCCTACACTTCTGGATTTAAGTCTTCTTCTAGAATTTAAGTTTGCACACACATCTGTTTCACAGATGTGGCTTATTTCTATGCAAAATGCTCGTTACTTGCCTTTCAGGCAGAGGAATGCTGCAGGAAACACCTCTAATTAGTAGACATTCTTTTTAGTGAGGCAGTAAGTTTGTTCTTTTTCCCCTTACAATGGGTCCTCGTAATCAAGTCCAGACGTGGATTAATAGCCATAACTTTCTGCCGGTATTTACAGCCAGTTAACGCGAAGAACGGCGTGATGGTGACCACATCACCCATCCTGTGCCGATTGGACTATTAAAAAATAGGTATTGCCCTATACGCCTAAAGGCGTGGAAAAGGGTCCTTTACTTTTAGCTTTTTGTCATGGTATGCAGGGTTGTCAGCACAGGAACTGATACATGCTGTTTAAGGTGGCAAGCTGTGGAGGGTTTTGTCACCTTCACCAGTCGGCAAGTGATGTTATGAGGAGCCATGTTTTGTGTGGTGAGTCGTCTGATAATGAATTTGTTGAACTGCTTTTGTTTCACTTTGTCCTAGATATCATTTTTTTTTAAACTTAACAGTTTATGAAATCATAAGTTTTCTTCATCCATTCTTGGATACAGTCCGATCAGCGACCAGATTCTCACTGTCAGACTTTGGGTAAGGAAAAAGAACATCACAAATATTCAAGTGTATGAACCAACCTCTGCATCAGAGGAAGATAAATACAAAATTTGTATAACAGTTTAGAAGAGCCTTAGAAAGGGTAGAAAAAAGAGACATGATAATCATCATGGTTAATTTTAACATAAAAATGGGTGAGGGTAGAATAGAGGAAGAAGAAATTGTCAGAGGCTCATTTGGCTAGGAGAAAAAAACGAGAGGGAAAAGACTGATCAAATTCTGTATAGAAAAAATATTAGTTATCAAGACACTATTTAAATAACACCCAAGAAGACTACATCTGGACTTCACCAGCTGGAAAAACCAGGAGCCATGACCACCTCTTCTTCTCCGCATTCTGTTTTGTATGCTCAGATCAGATGGGTTGCCTCTGTGAACTCGCTAGTCAGCAGCAGGTTCTTCATGGTTCCCCATAGCTTTCTCTGCATACTTTGCTCTTGAGGCCAGGTGTCTTTTTGAAGTTGCAGGTAGAGTGTGCAGGCCTGCAGAATGTGCTCAGGTGTTTGTGGTCCTGTCTGACAGGCACACTGTGGGGACTGTACAACCTTTATTTTATTCATGTGGTAGTTGAACCTGCAGTGTCCTGTTCGTAGATGGAAAATTGTTGTATGTTGCTTTCTGTTGAGTCTGCTGATGGGGTCATGTGGGTGTTTACTTTTGGTTTGTTCTCTCCACAATTCCTTGTATTTTCCTTTTGAGTCTTTTGATTTCTAGTAATGACAATTGATGGGTTTGTTTCTTCTCTGTTCCATTTTTTTTGCAAGTCTGTCTGTTAACTCATTTCCCGGTATGCCGCAGTGAGCCAGGATCCAGTGAGCCAGAACGATTTGATTGTTGTCTGTGTCTGTTTAGCTGGCGGATCAGTTCTGTCTCCGTGTTGACTCCTGGATCCCCCTGAGTCGCCTAAAGGACTGACATGCAGTCACAAAGGAAAACAATTTTGTTGCTGTGTTAAATTTTTCTTCCATCGAGCACTTTTGTTGCATCAATACTTGCTTGCTGCTCTTCTCTGACATTTGTTGAGTCTTTCGGAGGCTCATGCCGTTTCTTTTGTGGTCCCATCTTGCAGCATGATGACCTATCCAACTGCTCCGTTTTTTCCCCTCTCCCTTCAATGAACCATCGGTGTATACATGTGTCCATTCGGGTTTTCGGTAAGAGTTTAAGACATTTGCATGCAGTACTAGGTCATCATCACATGACCAAAGAATGTAGATTGTTTCTGATGTGGTCAATCAGTTCTCTTCCTGAGTCATTTTCTTTTATTACTTTTTTATTTTTTTTAAATCTGTCCAAGGTATTCTTACCATTTGTCTATAAAACCACATCTCCGCAGCTTCCAAAAATGTTTTCACTAATTTATCAACTATTCGCGATTTACTGCCTTACATCAAGATAGGATTTACATAGCTTTTATATATATATATATATATATATATATATATATATATATATATATATATATATATATATATATATATATATATATATATATATATATATATATATATATATATATATTTTATATATTCTCTTTCTCGTCTCAGCTGACAACGAAAGATTTCATGAAATAATCTTCCTGTCGAAAAATGATGCCTGCAGGATTACCACCCCTATAAGTAACAATTAAAGAGGTACAAATCCCGTTTAGTTGCATTAAGACATATTAAGACAGTTATATATATATATATATATATATATATATATATATATATATATATATATATATATATATATATATATATATATATATATATATATATATATATATATATATTAGAACACCTGACGGGTTACGTAACGTGTGTCCAGTCGTGGCTTGGAATCAATGCCTTCTCTAATAAATAGAGTAGACCGTGCTTGGAATAAGGACTATAACTCTAGGTGTCTGGCTGGTCGCCAAACAAATGTTCCAGTTTTGCTAGGCCGCAATTGCACAAAGGTTGAGAAACACCGACATAAAGGATATGCAACCAACTAAAACAATGATTTTACGGGTTTTCTTCTAAATTGATATAGTTTGTTCAAGCTATGTATGTTATTCTTTAGTATTTGGCTATTTTCTCTTTGCTGGAGAAGAGGTCAAAAATCTGTCCAAAGTTGATTTGACATTACTTTTTTTCAGTGCTCTTAAAGTAATTCAGAGCCCTGTCCTAAATAGAGACAATTTCAGCTTCATTTGGATTACCACTTTATAGTAAATAACTGAAACTTGTCTCAGTAATTCAGCAATTTTTTCGGCACCTGTTGACGTTCTTCCCTTTATTGTTACTGTGCTCCTCCTCCTCTTTTGAACATTGTTGATCTTCTTTGTATCTTTCCAGATCCGGTTACGTTTTTAACTTTTCAAGGTCTTCTGTTGTCCTATAATCACTTGCTAGTTGTTCAACAGATTCCTCTTTATCTTTTCATTACCCCCAAATGTAATAATATGCATAAGGAAACTACCTTAAAATATTTATTATTTTTCTTCGTCTTTACGTCCTTTTTTACCACTTGGCGTGTCGAGGGAGATATAAGGTCCTTCTTCGTGCTAACATATTTATTAACAGAATCAAAATTCATTAGCTGCGACTTAAAACAGCAACAAATGTCTTCGTCAGATGGAATCATCGTTAGCCGAAAACATCGTTAGCCATGTTACACATGAGTTGAGGTATCACTGAATTTCATCGGGGATGGGGTGGGAAAGAAACAAAAAGGGGTGGGTGGGGCTATACACATATTTTAGCTTATAGTAATAAGGTTTCTACAGTAAAGTAAGCTCATGTGCAATAAACATTAAATAGGATGGAGCAGAGAAAGGCGAAGGAAAAGAATGCTAAACGGCCGCTGGTCTTGACAGTATTAAGACACAGAGAGATTTAAAGTCGGGAGATGTGAACCAGCGTCATTGCACACGGTTATAAACCATAAGTGCTTTTCCACCAATATGAACAGCTGATAAGAAACTGTGTCGCCGTCCGCACGAAATTCCGTAGCCACAGCGATGTTCTTCAATTCACCCCAGAGTGTCATTTTACTTTGCCGAAAAGTACTGAAAACAGTGTTTGGGTTGGGATAAACCCTTCTCCTTCTGCGTTCGACACCAGTCATGCTAAACGTCTGGGTTACAAATAGGAGTGTGCGTTTAAGGTCGCCACCGGCCCCCCATAGCTGGATATACCCGAAATATGAAAATATTTCCCGTCTAATCATACTGGTCTTACAGTAGTCTCCCTGTAATAAGAACAGGTTAATCATGTCATAGAGATCATCATCATTATCATCAGGTGCCTTGCCGACTGGCGTGGGCGATCATGCCTCTCCATAATCTACGATCTCCTGCAGCATGTATCAGTTCGTGTGCCGACACACCTCCATGCCATGCAACAAGACTGTCAAGAATCTTCTCTCGTTGTCTTCCTCTATGCAATGTTTGGCGGAGCCTCACAATAATTCCATCCGTCATTTGTTATAGTGTGGTCCGATTGTTTCGGTTTAAGTTGGTCGTTAAACGGGCACTTGAATGGGAAACAGTGAACGGGGTTATCCAAGAGACGCCCTTAGATAAATATTGATGAGAACAACCCTTGAAATCGAGGAGGTTGCAGGCATAAAGGGAATAAAGGAATAGAATGCTAGCTTCATGTAATACAAATGGAACTGACCAGTCAAACCTCTTTCTTAAATGTTGTTTTCTAGACACAGCGTTACGGTCCGATATGTTTCAAATTGTTGTTGTGTTTGTTATTCGACCTGTGCTTGGTTAATACAAATTTATGTGACCTATGGTGCCATTTCAATGGTTTGAAATGAATTCTGTCCGTATTACATAGTTGTGGATTTTGAAGCTGTACGATAGACATGACCGATGACTACACCCTTTATTAGAGTGCCTAGTTAGTCATGTTCTTAGCACACACGTTTCCATAGCGGGGTACACACGCCATTTGGAGGGGACAGGTTCGATTTCGGGCATGGTAACCTCAGCTTTAGATTTTTATTTTTTTCTACTGT